CTTGGATCTAACCGGATTGTCGCCGGCGTATCCCTGCTTAGCAACCTTTTCGATCTGTTGACTATCGTCAACTCGAAAGATTTCCCCACAGCCATGATTTATCCCTAATTAAGTCATTAGTCTGCTTTATTATAATTTTCCTTTAATAGATAAGCCTATATTTCTTATCATAGATATTAATTTCTAAATCAAAAACAATATAAAAAATTATTTTTATCTTACAGCGCTTTTCAAATTACTGTGATCAGTGATTTTCATACATCACACTGGTAATCAGAGATCTCTAAAAAATGCCAATATATGATTGGATAAAAAATATTTTTAACCAATCACATATTTGCATTTGTTCTATATTTCTGATTACTGGTGTGATGTATGAAAATCACTAATCACGGTAATTTGAAAAGCGCTGTAATCAAATATACTTGCTGCAGTATCTGACCTATAACTAAAAGTATTTTAATTTGTGCTTCTTATTTTAGTTACAACACTCAAATTTAACTATCTTATTATCTCATTCTAAATACAATAAATCTTGAACCTTGATTTGATCATTTTTTACCACTTAAATGGGTCATTAATCTACTTTAATGTGCTTCTTTCTACTGTTCTCTTATATAATTATTAGAGATTCTTTATTATACTAAAAACCTGATTACAGGTGTACTTTGATATCACGTATTTTAATGAATTTACTTATTTATTAAATAATTTCATTTGACAAGATAAATATTAACTCTATAAATATTTATTTATAGTTTAGTTATGCTAGATTAGATTTTTACTTGTCTAAATTGAAAATAAAATTGAATAATATAGATATTGTTGCTTTTTGTAATACACAATGAATCACCAAATACTAAGAATGATCAGATCTATGTTTCAATATTTTAATTGCAAAACTCAAATTCAATTTTTTACTTTTCACCTATATATTAATTTTTTTATGATTTGAAGTTCACTGATCTTTATCTAATGGCTCAAATAATAAAATTATTGTTGTTCATAATTAGATATGACATAAAAACTCATTCTTACCGCCAAATTAAAGCCATCAGATTTTTTCTATCTAAAATAGAACTAGCGATATCATGATAATCATAACCACATTTTCATAGATCTGTAAAATACCAATTTTGCTCAATTTAATGATAACCTTTATCGTGATATTGTTAGTGTTGTTAGAATTCTGTATTTCTACTTCAAATATCACTCTATAATTCAGATAATCCTTATCTCAAATTTCTTCCATATTTCTCTTTAATTTATCTCATCATCTTTTCTATATAAATAGATATTGTGAAATACACATACCCGATATATTTTCATTGTCCTTTTATTATAAAGCTCGCTATTCCTTGCCTATAATTGCTTAACTTTGACTGTTAATTTTATTAATAAAAATGTCATCCTTATTCGTAGCATTCTGCTTAGCTAAAAATGTTACTGGGAATGACAAGTACATCTCCGGAACTGCATTATACCGAATTAACCAAACGACTGACAAATTCAGAGAAATTACCTTTAAAGGATTTATGTCTAATTCTGACTCCTTGATAATGCCTTTTGAAAAAAATTCAATCGTATTCTTTATCGGCCATTATGCTTATGAAGACCTAGAATATGTATATGCTTGTTATATAATATCAACCTGTCTTCAAAACCCATTGATTGTATACTATATTTGTTATTTTCATTCAGGTTACTTTGGTTCAAACTGTTCCAATTTCTTTTTCCGAAGACAATTATGTTCTTGCTCCCGAAGATCTTCTGAATTTGTCTTCTTTATTAATTTATACTGCTGCTGTGATCTCTGATCCATATATTCCTGATAATCAAGATGGTCGAGAAAGTTTCGTAATGGCAAGACGATTATATAATGGCATCACTAATAATAAAAATGTTGAATCAAAAGTTATTGTATCATATACGAATGAAAACAATCGTTATAATACTATGAAAAATAATTTGAAAAAGACAGTCATATCTGTTATAGGGCGTTTAAAAATTGGATCAAAAAAACTTCTCCATATTCTCGCTTCTGACATTGAGTGGACTTATGTTTCTAATGATATCCAACCTTCAAGTACCACAAACAACACAAAAGTAACTTCTGAAATTGAACTCGACGAACATCTTGACAGTATTGAAGAAAAGTATGCTACAATGACATTGCAACTTCCTCAAAAAAGACAAAGAATTAATCTGTGCAACCTTCAATATAACAAACATTCAAATGAAAAAGCCACTTCACTTAATTTTGCTGAGCTTATTTTACAGATCCAAAAAGAACCTCCTGCTGAAACAACCTACGCTGAATCCTCCTTATCAACTGCTAATCATGAATTTTCATCTCGAGAAAATAATCAAAATATTCCTTCTTGCGCAACTCGTGTTGAAGACGAAGATGAAGCTGATACACTTATAAGTGATGATGATAATGATTCTATTAAGCTCTCTCATATTCAACCTCAAAATCCAAAACCTGAAACTAAAGGTAAACGCGCATGGAACCTTCGCACACCAAAAAAATAAGCATTTTATGTTTCTTTTTATTTTTTCTTCCTTTTTTTTTATATTATCCTTTTTTTATCTTTAAGTTACTAACTTACGAATATAATCGTACCTGATTCTTATTCCCTTTAATTTGTTCCTTAATTATATACATATTCAAGCAAATAACTCATTTCTTATATGACTTTATGTTGTATCGTTTCCTATATTGTAAGCATGAAATAAAGCACACCTAAAGGTTAATTCTAAGTAAGATATTATTTTCCAAATTCAGTTTACTGCACCTTCAATAAATGTACGTTTGCTGATAAAGATGAATTTATAAAACATTCTTTATAAAAAATAATCTGTAAATATTAAATAATTCTGTTATACCGATCAGATTATGTGCATTTATCATTATAACGAAAGCGCATATGAAATACACTTATAAAGTGTACTTATGCAAATTATTAACTTTATATCACAATAGCAAATTATGTGCTATATTATAACGCATATTGATTCACGATGCCCACACATGCTAATTCAAACCATATAAGTTATTTTTGAATCGCCTTATTTCAAGTTAATATCTGCAATCGTTTTTTTTCACACTTATACGATAACCTTATATATATCTCCAAAAATTGATCTCATATAAAAAAAAAATAAATAAATGTCGCAGATCATAATGAAATCGGATTAAAATAAAACTGGCGACCTTTCTTGCTCATCTTTAAAGCTTATGAAACCCACTTATACTCTTTTATTAATAAAACTAACTCTA